AGAGTCACCCAAAAGAGTCACTTGGCAGTTCATTTGTGATACCGAGTGACAATGGAACAAAAACAAAAACGAAAGACCACCCTCTGATAGCTTCCAGCTCTTTGTGATGTTTCTCTTCGACTGTGGGGTCATCACTGCTAGAGGCCATCCAGGGCCCAGCCGCCCAGCCATGCACCCGCCCCCCACATGTCGACCATGCCCTGATGGTGAGCGGTAGGTGCAAAGTCTCCTACTCACTGAGCAGAGGCAGCGAGCCCATTCCTCCTCATCTTGTCACCTCAGCACCTTGCCACCTTCAACTGGCTGGCACACAGGTCTCACCTCACCCTTTGCACAAGGCCTGGTGCATTTCCACTGAGGCTTTGCTGAGGGCCTTGGGAGACAGCACACGGAGTGAGGAGTCCTGCTGGTGCTGGTCAGAGGTGGCCGTCTGGCATCTTTGGTGTGGGGGCAGGCTCGCCTGGCTCCCTGCCACGGGCTGTTGGTGAGGGCAGGAGCGGACACAGGAGGTTCTGAGGGTCTTTCAGAGGCCAGCTTGGTAGAGTAAGGACGACACGGTCCCCTCGGCAGAAGGTGGTTTGGGGGCTTGTCAGCTGTGCCTGGTAAGGCTGTGAGCAGCTACCAAAGCTGGGGGTAAGTTAAGAAAACCCTGTGTTCTGGTTATCTAGTGCCACTCTGACAAGAATATGCCACCAGTGGGATGGCCTTAACAAACAGAAGTTTATTCTTACAATCTGGAGGCTTTAAGTCCAAATTCAAAGTGGCAGAGGCATTTCTTCACTCTGACAGCTGCTGGCTGCTGAGGATGAGGCCAGGCCCAGCCAAGTTGACACACAAACATAGCCATCACAGTTGACAAGTAAAAAGGCACAGTCCCGATGTTACCAAACCACATGGCAAGCCATTAACTTAAGCCCATTGTAAGTCCCAAGGTTGGCAGAGCATAGCAGGCTGCTGAGCAACAACACGGCTACATGCAGGGTCCAGGCATGCCATAGGCTAGAGACCATTCCCAAGGCTTCTCCTTAAATACAGGAAGCAGACCACATCCCAAAGGCAGCTACTCAGCTGCTTGTGGTAGATCCCACCATGGAGTTGATTGCCAGT